CATTGGCCACACCAACAAGCCATGTATCTGTCACTGTTGATGTCTGAATTTTAAAAAATTTCTCAAGTACTGAAGACACCTTGGAAAGTTAATTCATTCAGCTCATGCTTATGCTTATAGCACCAACTGGAATTGTTTTTATTTTTGTTTGATATCAAGATTTCTTATTTTATATAAGCAACTGTGCTTGTTACTTAGGATGGACCTGGTTATATTTCCCATGGCAGTGGACCAGATTTCTGCAATGTTTTAGCACGTAAGAGTTCTGAGGAGGGACACAAATCTATCTTCAGTGAAAAAAAAAAAAAAAGAGTGCACTGGGGGCAAATATACTCACATGAATTCCTGGGATTCTTGGCTTTCTCTACCCATTGTATAGGCCTCCATTCTGGCACACTGTATTAGAGTCAGACATTCCAAGGATAGCTTGAAGGTAGGGGCCCTAACTCCCTCTGTCCCTCTAATTCCTATCACATAGCAGGATTAAAGAGAGGACAGAGGAGGGGAACTCAGTTTCATCACCCAGCCTCTCCTCTAGTGGCAGCGATTCTGCTCTGCCCCTGAGCTTGCATATCCCACTCAGCAAAACAAAAGCTGCAGGAATAACCATACCTACCCTCCTTAGATGGCATCTTACTGCCCATCAACTGTTACTCAAAAATGTCTCTTGAAGGAGGTCTCATTTTCAACCCAAAGAGCTTATCAAAGCATTCCTGTCAAGACCACATCATATTCTTCACGAGAAGAGTTATGGTAAATGCAACAGGGCCATCTTTTACATTAATTAAAGATCAGTGTCCTAGTCCTCTCATCTGTTAAGTGGAGATAATAACAAAGTATCAGTTAAGGATTAAATAAGACAATTGATGGGTTGGGCTGGACAATCAAGGAGTAATTTTCTAAGCATATATAGGTGACTTCACTGTGTACTGACTTAAAAATGCTTCTTGTCCTGCCTAAGCACAGCCTCCTATTGAGTATTTCACAACCAGGTCCATTCTTGTAAAAAGAAACTTTCTAGTTCTACCAGCTCATACAGGTCTGAGTTTTGGTCTTTATCTACATCAGACAGAGACAGAGAATGTGGAGACCTCAGTGCCTTTCAATCCAAGCCCTTTGGAGCTTGCTCTGGGCTGTAAGTAACAAAAACCCAACTTAAACAATAAAGGGAATTTATTGGCTCATGGAACAAAACTGTCCAGAGTGGGGCCAGTTGCAGGCGAAGCTTGATCCTGTACTTAAACAATGTCACCAAGGACCTGGCTTCTTTCTACCTCTTGACTTTCCCTTCAGTAGCGTTGACTTCAGGCTGAGAGTGGTTCTTCTTCATGGTCCCAAGACGGCCACCATCAAGACTCAAGACTACCTACTTCCTCTTTCACATCCAGCACTGTGGATAAAAAGAGCCTCTACCCAACATTCCCAGAAAAACTCTTGAAATTCCCTCTGGCTGCATTGCCTTAGGGCACATGGCCATACCTGAACCAATCACTGCAGCCAGGGAGCTGGAATGTGTGGTTGGCTTAGTTTAGGTCATGAGTTCACCCCTGGAAGTGATGACTGAGTCAGCTCAGCCAGATTGTAAAGTCCCCAAACAGAAACCAGGGGCTACTGGGAAAGGAAACGGGGGAATGAACGAACATGGGGATGCAATAACAACATCCATCACATCTTTCGTTTTATGTATGGAAAACTGAGATTAGAGAGGGAAAAGGCCTTCCCAAGATCATAGCAGGGTGGAGCTGGGACCACATCCCAGCCCTTCAATCTGTAGACCCTGTATTATTTCTACTTGACTCTACTTCCACTTGCTCAGGCCAACTTGCCCACTACTGGGTGGTGATCAATGTGGGTTCCAACCTGTCGATTTCTCCCTAAGAGAAATGAGTGAACCAAAGGCATCACATTTCAAACACCGCCAACAAGTTTCCCCTCAGAAGAACACGAACCTATGCTCCAAGGATTCTTGCAGCCATGAAGATCAACTGCAGCACTTCCATCTCCCCTCTTGGGGCCCCCTAACTACCAAGTAGCTCCTGCTACTTTTAAGGGAAAAATGCATTCTGGTGTGCAAACACTGTTGCATATTCAGGCACTCAAAATCTAATTTTAGCTGCAAGAGACTTCATTGCAAGATGTTCACGTAATTAAGCAGCTTTCTTCCCAGAGTTTGGAAGCCTATCTATTCTTTTCTCTCATTTTCACGTCGCTGGGATTATCAGAATGTGTTTTAGCTTCTTAAAATTATATATTTTGGTTTTTCCAAATTGATCCACAACAGGAGATGAAATCCATGAAAATTACATGTTTTAGCACAGGTTTATGTAACTCTATAGTCTTGCTATTAAAGTTAGAATCTGTAGACAGCCAGAGTTTCACTGTTCAAAGGCTCCCAATACATTTCCCACACTTCTCCCCCAAATACAGATCTGCTTTTACTCCTTGGCTGGTTGGGACAGTTAACCCTTTATGGAGAAGCCATGAGCTATAAACAAGACCTAACTGGGACACAAACAGACTTTCCCCAAAGGACTGGTGGATCCCCCTTACCGTGCTCTGCTCTCCCACGGAGGCAGGCTGGGGCTGTGGCTGCTGAGAGCCAGCAGCAACAGGTGGGGCCTTTACACCTCCTTGCTCACCCAACGTCCAGAAGCACTTGCCAAGTGTCAGGTCCTTACCATGGGCAGCAACTCAGTGTAGCCCGGATGCAACCTGACCCAGTCATCCTACTCATCTGCATGCCTGGCCAAGGTGCAAGTAAGCTGCAGGACCCAAGAGGTCTCTGGGGACTTGGTGACAAGGAAGGCACCCAGCCAGCTACCAGGAGGAACGGCTGTGCTGCTGCTCCCCTGACTCCTGGTGGGGAGGGGGAGCTCAGGGAGCCGCCTCGGCTGTGGTCCTGGTCAACTCTCCAGCCACACCTCTGCCTTCTCCAGCCCCCACAGCTTCTCGGTTTCCTACCTGAAGATTGCCTGGGTGGCAGGGAGTGAGGGCCATAGCCGTGGAGCCGGCCTCGGGAGGATGCCAGCTTCCCTCTTCTCCACCGGTTTGTGCTGCCGTCTCCTTTGAGACTCTGTGTTTGCTCTGGGATGCTGGTGTCCCCGGCCCCTTCCAAGACAGTGTGGAAACTCCTAGTGGGTCTCAACTAGAACTCGGGAGACACAGCCTCATCAGAGGCCTTCACAGGCTTGACTGTGGAGCCCATGCTGAACGATAAACATTTATAAAGAAGCTGGTGTTTCCAGCTTTGAGCTGAGCCAGGTGATGCTGTGGGGTGGTCTAGAACAGCCTCAGCACCAGTGTAGGTTTGGGGGACTCAGCAGGAACTTGGAGGCCACCAGGAGCACAGATGTTGACCCCACTCACTGGTAAAACTGAAGGCTGGGGAGACTTCCCTCTGAGGAAAGGTGGCTCCACTGAGCCCTCCTGCCCTGCCTGCCTTCACTAGGGGTGGCTCTTGGCTCCCCACCACCAGTCAGGGAGTAGAGGTTCAAGCCATCCCTATGCCCAGCTTTCCCAAACCCCTCACCCCATTTTCTCCTCATGACGTCGCTTGGCTCAGGCTGAGGGGATGTCAGATGAAGGGGCCCAGCTGGGGTTACCCCAGGTCTGGGCAAGCTGCAGAGGCTCAGGGGCTGGCCCGGTTCAGGCCCACTCACCCCACTCTTCGCCCTCCCACAGGACTCAGTATGTAACTAGGCTCTCCACCACCTTCCCTGCATCTCTCACTGTCCTGGGCCACGCTCCCAGGTCATTCCAACCTCTAGACCCAAACCCCCCAGTCTCCACAGCCTCATTCCTGAGCCCCAGACATGTAGCAAAGGGTGACCCAGGAAGGAAATTAGCATCAGCACCCGGGACCCTTCCAGGCTGAACACTAGGTGGCCATAAGGACAGAGTCTTTTTCTGTGTCCCCATCTCTGTCCCCACCCACCCACTCCCCTCCTTCTGCTGCAGACTCGGAGAGACACACACGCCCCACACTCCATTCACCTGTTTTGCAAAACACACCAAGGTTTTCCAAGCCTCTAAGCACACGCTGTTCTTTTGCCTTAATTACCCTTCCCCTCTGCTTTGCTGGGATGAATCCTACAGATTTCTCAAGACCAGATCAAAGTTGCTTTGGTGCACTCCCTGAAGACCCCAGGCATGTGGACCGACCATCGTGAGCCTGCACAGCATTCATGCTCCTGTTACTGGGTTTCTCACTCCACGGGTGACGACCCCTCCTCTGGGCCCGTGGACTGAGCTGCGGTGGGGAAGGCTGCCTTTCATACGGGTCTTCCCCGTCTCCGGAGGCCAGCACTCAGCAGGTGTCAGCATCTGTGAGCACCAGCCGCCTTTTGCTGAGGAAATGCATGAACAAGTGGGAAAGATGACAGCGTAGCAGAAATAAAGACAGATGGTGTGGCAAAGAGACCGGGGACAGGAAGTGGTGAGGTGAGTAACAGAGGGACAGAGAGGGCTCGGCCATGGCCACTGGGGGTCAGGCAGAAGCTGCAGCTATGGCCTCTCCCCCAAGGGTGCAGGGTTGTGTTGTTAATGGTCATGACCCAAAGGTGAGACCCCTTGGAGAGTGGAGACCTGTCAAGATGGGTAGGGCAACCAGTCACAGTGATCCCTAAGATCACGTCCTTCCTTGGTTTCCCCATGCCCACCCCAAGCCCCTCCTGATGACATATGGAGCCCTCAGGTCCAGGAATACTCTGAGGCCCAGTCCCCTCTCTGCCCCACTGTCCCCTCGCTCTAACACCCTGTATCTGAGGCATAGGGTGAAAGCCCACTCTCCTGGGGACAGTTGGAGAAAGAAGCCAGGCAAGGAAGCCTCACTCCAAGGAGCACTCATGTTAGAAGGGGGTGCACAGAACTTGGGATGGGTCCTGAGGTTGGTGTGAGTTACGGGTGCTCCACTGTCCACGGTGCTGCCAACCCACCTGGGGGGGGG